GTTGCATTTGTGTACACCAATAATAAACTATCAGAAGAAGAAATCAGGAAATCAATCCCATTTACAATTGCTTCAAAAACAATAAAATACCTAGGGTCACTTTTATAAACGCTTTTCTGTCTCATCATCCTCCACTTTATCTTTCCTTGGGTTCATTTTGCTTGAAATGTCCTTCAATATTTTATTTCCATAAATATCCTTTGGTAGTATAATTTCTCTGTCTTCATTTTTTCTGGACATTTGCTTTTACCTTCTTAGTTGAAAAATGATTATTCAAACATGTGAATGTGATCAAGGAGGTAATGAGATGGTAATCAAGTCACGTGGGAAGACTGGTAGGAGGTGGAGGGTGGTCTAGATGAGTTAATCCTCATGCCTCAGAACACAGTGTCAATAGACAAGAAGTGGTGATATAAACACACTACTAAGGAAGTGACTGTGGAGAAACCAAAACCAAAGCCATTTAAGTTCTCAACTCTGGCATAAGAATGGGATGGGTAGGTGAACTGACAGTCAGCAGTAAACATGCTTAGATATTAGATCACAGAGGCTAGAGATATAGGCATAGGCTTTAATTAAATGTTTTGATTGCTTTGATTGTCACGAAGCTTAAAATCAAAGATTAAGAAGTTATGTTACTCATGTCCTAGAGGCTTGCCTGTAAAGCAAGTTCCAGGAAAAATGTTTAAAGGTACACTTTGCTTGGGATAATAGAAAAATGTGACTAGTGAAGCACAAAACAATAGTAGCACTGAAGGAGTAATGGTCACAAGATAAGTAGTGTCTGCTTCACACACCAAAGTAATGATATTGACATATTGTTATGATGTTTCGCAGCTCATGACTTGTAAAAGGAGAGGACCGCCCCACTGCAATCTCACTGAAGCCAGAACAGCAGGATTGAAATAGCTGACCAGAAGATGAAAGTTAACTGCTGACCTAATCACTGACCAATCAACAAAGGCCCGCCACCCTAAACCCTTACACATGATTTTCACTCTATAAAAACTCTGGCCTGTAAGCCATGGGGAAGTTCGGATTTTGGGCACCACCTTGCCGTTCTCCTTGGTGGCGCCATTCCAAATAAAACAGCTATCTTTCTTCACTGCAAAGCCCGGTGTCAGTTCTCATTGACTCGGGGCATGTGGATGGACCTGAAATCTCACTCAGTTCAGTTACACAGGTAAGAAATTAAGAAGGGTGGGAGATTAGGGGACTGTTGCTTTTTTCTATAATGTGTTTTTTGTTTTGTTTTGTTTTTGTCCCGTTTCATTCTTTAAATATGAGCCTGAATTACTTTGATAAGAATACGTTTTTTAAAACGCAAAGGGACTTCTTAGTTACTACCAGATCTGGGATGTGAAGTCAGGTTTTATGTGAACGACTCAGCTGTTTTGGTTTTTTTTTGTTTTCTAGGTTTTTTTCCCACATAGAGATTAATCCATACAGGAGCTCACAGAATCTCTCTCTCTCTCTCTCTCTCTCTCTCTCTCTCTTTCCTTCTAAGACACACAGACACACACCCCTCTATGTGGGATGAGTGAATGTGTATAGGTGTGCAGTCAGGCCCCTCCCTGGTTGCCCAAGGTGCTTCTCCCAGGAGTTAAGTTTCTGCCATGTCCTTCCACACTGTCCCCTGTGCTGACCATTTTGTTTCTAGACATCAACCCTTCCACCCAGCCCACCCCCTGCCTCCTCTCTCATGACTGGCTTCTGCTACTTCTTGGGTTTGTGTTTCTTACTCCCTTTGGGACACAAAAGGAACAAGACATCATCTAGGCCACTCACCAAGTGCTCCGAGACCCTCTTCTCCCCTTGGCCCCCAGACTCAGTCCATCATCCCCAACCCACTCTGCTTTCTCTCCTCCAGGCTCCTCAGGAGATATGCCTCCCTCCCCAGGGACACTGGGTGGTCCTAAGTCCTGACTCAGGCCCTTCAGCACTGCTTTCTACCGCTGTCCTAAGCTGAGGAAACTCAGAAGTCTGCCCTAAGAGACAGGATTCCCAGAGTCTGTGTAGCCTAGGTCTGCAGTGGTTGGACCCTGATGCCATCCTGGGCCCAGGTAACAGCCATTGGGGCCTCCAATGCTGTCTATGGCAGCTTTGGTTGGTTTTGATCATTTTTATTATGAACACATAAGGTGGTTGTAATTTTTGAGGAAGATGTTCATTATATTGGCACTCATTTCTTCTAATTCAACTTTTCCACATTACATTAAAGTGAACTTTTTTACTTATTTATACAAAATTTTTTGTTCATGCATTTAATCCTCATTTACTTGGATAATGCAGTGGCTGGTCCCCTGCAGTTTAGATGAGTTGAAGATAATTATTCTGATATTCAGAGCTACAGGAATTTTTTAGTCTTCTGTTTCATTATCTGATGTAGGCTATAACACTGATTATCTTTGAAATTCTGTTAAACATTTCTTTTTTCAATTGCCATACATAATCCACTGCAACCCAACTCAATCACTTCTTCTCATTAAAATTTTCATTTGAAATAATTGCAGACTCACAAGAAGTTGCATAAATAGTACAGTCCTTTGTACCCATCACCCAGCTTGTCCAATGGTGACATCTTACATATCTATGGTACAATATCAAAACTGGGAAACTGACATCGGTATAATACTATTTACTACACTATAGGCAAATTTCATATTTCAACATTTTCACAATGTGTTTGTGTGTATAGTATTAGATACATAGATTCATGCACCATCACCATAATCAAGATATCCTTTTATCACCATAAAAGAATTCACTTAAGCTGCCCCTTTAGAGTCATCCCTCTCTCCCCTTCCCAGATGCCTGATGACTACTTTTTGGCTACTCAGTTCTCCATCTCTATAATTTTGTCATTTTGAGATTACTACATAAAATGAAATGATACAGTATGAAACCTTTGGAGAATGACTTTTTTCACTTACTAGAATGCCCTTAAAATCCATCCAACGTGTTGTGTGCATCATCTAGTTTGCTAAAGTGGTGAATTACTCAGGTGGATGTTTGGTTATAACCCAACCCAAATGGTGAAATATGAAAATTGGCCTATAGTGTAGTAAATAGTATTATACCGATGCAGTTTATTCCTGCAATCCATGCACTGTCATTGACTATATTGTTAGATTCATTTGCTAAAACTTTATTTAGAAATTTTGCATTTTTCTTTATGAGGGATATGGGTCTGTAGATTTTTTGGTTTTTGTTGGTATCCTAAGTTGTAATGTTCTTGTCAGGTTTTGGTATCAGGGTGATTTAGGACTTGTAGAATAAATTGTACTACATTTTCTCCTCTTTAATTCTTTGAGCCAGATAGAGTGGGAGCTCAATGAATACTCCATGAGTAATGTAAGGGATAGAGAAATGAACTAACATGGGATACATAAAGAGCAGGTCTGGGAAAAAGTTTAATATAAAAAACACATCATCCACTGATGCCAGGCCACTGACAAGAGGCAGCATGATTCACATTCACTGTCTCTGGTCTTCACTCAACATAAGGAGAGAATTTCTGTTCCTGTTTTACAGGTGAGGAGACTGAGAGCTTGTTACTTGTCACAGGTCCTTTGGCTGCATAGAGTTGGTGCAAACCAAGTGCACCATCGGCCTTCTCCCCTCCCCACCTTAGTGCAGTCATGACTCCTGACCCCACATGGATTGTCCAGCTGCCTCATCTGGAAGCCATGCTGTTGTCTGCTGCAAAGCTCTGGAGACTGAGAGAAAGCTCAGTGTCCTGAGAGAGAGTGTGAGGTGTGATTCCCTCTACACACCTGGACAGGAAGGGTGTGGTCACCTGTGGGGTGGGCTCCAGGTTGTCTGTGTCAGAAAGTGATTCTTCTGATCCCAGGGAAACTGGGCAGATCACAATGGGAGTCACTTTTGTCTCCTTTTTCACATAATGCTGTATGTAGGGCCTCAATAACCCTTCAAACTGTTGTGTCAGCATATAAATGAAGGACTGATCATTTACATTGTAGAAGGAGATGGTCCCACCCTCATAGTCTAGGAAGACCCCAACTCGTGTAAGGGGTGTTCTCAGAGAGAGGGTGATTCTACAGGTTTTGAATGTGACATACTCATGTTTCCTATTCAGTCCAAACACCCAGTACCCATTGTTGGGAGACAAATGCACATTTTTCATATTCCTGTTCACGTTGTCCTGGCACACTCCCACATACCACATTACATTGTGTCCCACGTCCACCTCCCAGTAATGTTTTCCTGCCTGGAATCCCTCAGAAGCCACCACACATTTGCTTGCAAATCTCTTGTCCGAGTAGGTCACGTCCTGGCCAATGTTCCTATAGCACACAGCTTTCAGATGATAAATGTAGAGCTGGGGGTGAGCTGTCTCTGGGTCCAGGGTCACCTCCACTGGGGCGTGGTGAGGGAGAGAGAGCATGAGTTACTTGAGGAGGTACCTGGGCTGGATGCAGATGCCACCCCCTCCCCCTGCAGACTGTCTCAGGGTGGGATCAGGTCAGGTCCTAGAGCCAGAGGCTCTGTCAGACACTGTCCCCTGCCCTTTCCTCATCTCCAGTGGGGCCCCAGGCCTCACCAATGCCTGGAGATGCCCAACTGTGAGGTCTTAGCTCCTGTATATCACACCAGCCCTACCACTGTACCTCCACATCAGTGCACTGCTTCATTTTGTGAGACCTTGATTGTCCCTTGTAACCAGCTTGCTCCCATTCTGAGTCCTGCCCAACTTCCCCTCCTTCCCCTCAGTCCATTCCCTTGGCCAGTCACTTGTGCCACCAGTTCCCTGGAGCTTAGCCTCTGACTCCCATCCTGCCTTACTCAGCTCATTGCCCTCCCCCCTCCTAGTTCTGGGCCAAGAAATGAGTCTAGGGCAGCTGCCCCTGTTGAATCCGGGCCTCATAGATTTACAATCTGCAGTCCAGTGTGTCTCAGTGTTCCTGTTTCCCCTTGTCTGTCTCTGGTCGGCTCCCTCTCCTATGCCCACCTGCGGCTCTGTCCCACTGTCACCCCTCATGCATTGGTACCTGCATGTTTCCGGGCCTCTCTCAGTTCTGAAAACAAGCAGACAGAGCAGGAGAGTCAGTGCTCACATGGAGAGCAGTAGGCAGGGAGACAGGAGACCAAGGGAGTTAATCTTTGTTGGTCCACCAGATATTTGCTGGAGGCCATGGGGCTCTCTACAAACACACCTCCCCCAGCATCTGCAGATGGTTTCAGGGTCCCCTTCACAAGCTTGTCTCTTGCTGAGACCCACGGCCTCAGGGTCTCAAGATTCATAAACTAGGGACTTGAAAGGAGTGATAATGGAGGTGGAGGGAATAGCTTCTCTCACCTGCCACTGCATGCTTCCTTCTCCAGTCTGTAAACCAAAAACACAGAAGAGGTTGAAATCACAAAATCGGGGCCCAGGGCAGAGTGTGAGAGGAAAGCCCTACAACACTCTTACCCAGTTCTTGTGTTTCCATGACACAAATGGCAGAATATTCTGGGCTAATACAAGCCTGGAAAGCTTGTCTCCAAGTACCAAGCCAAGCAGGAGGTTGAGGGAGACGCCCCACAGGCTCTTCCCCTTCTGGGTTCACACCCTCAGAGAGCTCATGAAATTTATGGTTCCTCCCCCACAAAATGTACCAATAGGCAAAATGTGCAGATAATTTTAGGGGTTTTCAGGATCCCAATGCCCACCCTAACCCCCGTGTCTGTCTGAGGATTACTTCTTTAGTCAATGGATGGAGTGTTGAACCAGCTGCCCTCATTGGCCTGACCATGCTTCCCGTCCAGTCTGGAGACAAGAGCACACCCAGGTGGCTCTAACTGTGGAACAGGAGGGACCCAGGAGAACTGTGGGGAAGGCTCAGAACATGACAAGACACTTACCCAATTCTGCCTGCATTCTCCCTGAAACAGAAAGAGAATATTCAGTGTTGGACAGAAGAATATGTAATGTATGAACACAGCCCTGGCTCATTGCTCAGAAGGACGAGCTGTGGTGAATGATGGGTCTCTTCTAGAATTCTCTTTTTGTGCCCCCATCCCCACACCCCTATAGTGAACATCTGTATCTTGGGTGAAGGAAGAGATCAAGATTGGTCATGCTGAAGGGAGGGGCTGACATCTGGCATCCTGTGGAGGTGGAGATGGAGGTTATCAGGGAGAAGGGAAGCTGAGATGAGAGAAAACCTTGAGTGAAGTTGGGATCACGGCACACATTCTCAAGGAGCAGTGTCATCTCTAAGGACGAAAAACTAGTTCTTGGGGGGAAAATCTCTTATTGAAACTGAATATTATTTTATCTTGTCTTCACTTCTATTTCTTGTGCTATGAAGTCTTTTCAAGTACATTGAAACTTTTTACTAGAGTCATGTGGTGTTAGAAATGTATATCATCCCTACAGGTAGTGAAAATCATTCTTCTCTAATTCTGTGCCCTCTCTGAGGAAGATGGGCTTGGTGGGGCTGGCATTTCCTAAGGGAGCCCTTTCCAGCCATCCTGGAGTGGGGCGAGGACTGTGGTCTCTGTGGCCCAGGTGATGGTGCCCTGAGCCTGGGCTGAAATAACAGACCCAGGAGGTGTGTGGAGCACCCCTGATCCCAGCCCTGCTGGATGCATGAATAAGTCACGGGCCCCTGCTTCCCTTCCTCACTTACCCTTCAATTTGTAGAAGTAAATTGCCAGACCAATGCTACCAATACACAGGACAAAGAAGAACGCTCCCAGTAAAATAAATCGCATGCGCCAGGATATGGACTGGAAAATCGCCTCTGAAAAACAGTTCCACAGACCCCTCAGTGACTACTGAACAGTAAAAGCAGTTTGATTCTCATTTAAGGGATCATCTCATACCCCAACATTGAAAAGATAGTTTTCTATCATTTCTCCTACATGTTTAAAGTGTTGTGCTTCTTCATAATTCTCGCTCCATCTGGACTTTATGTTTGCATATAAAATGAGGTAGAAGTTCAATTTCATTTTCTTCTAAACAGATAACAACTCTGCTGGCATTTATTTACATGGATTTTCCTTCACATGCTATTACATGCAATGTCACTTGTATTTTATACATCTTCATAAGAGTTTGAAAACATATTATTAGATATATAAAACTTCATTAAAAGACACTAAGAACAATTAAAATAGGCAGAGTGATGTAACTTCTTTCAGGTAACAAGAGGCAATATTTTAAAGATACCATTTATTCCAGAATATAACTCTACTGTCTTAATAGTTTTCTTAGAACTAGACAAGTCGATTCCAACTTTATGTGCATGTACCTGGTGAAAGTGTGTGCTTCAAAATAACGATTGTTGTGGGTGAATTCTTCTAAGGATGTTTATTAGATCAGGACTGTTAACTTGCATATCAAATGTTCTACAATCTTACTATTTTGTCTACTTATTTAATCAGTTTTAGAACTCACAGTATTTCACTTTACCCCTATATTTCTATTCATATTTGCTTTATATGTGTTGAGATATACTATAAGGTGCATATATATTTATATTTCTTATAGTTTTCTAGTGATAAACTTTTTGTGTTCTGAAATAACTATCTTAATAATGCGTTTTTTTCTTAATACTTTTTTCTTTATTTTCTTAAATATTTTATTGGGGAGTTGAGGGAGGGGAACAGTGTTGGGGATTTGGAGAAGGAGAACAGCCAATTTGTTGTACTTCAATCTTAGTTGTGGAGGGCGCAGCTAGCTCAGCTCCAAGTCCAGTCGACATCCGGCCACCCGTTCGCAGCTAGTGGCCACTCAACTCAAGGTGCCATGTTCAATCTTAGTTGCAGGTGAGTATAGCCCACTATCCCATGCAGGAGTCGAACTGGAAACCTTGTTGCTAAGAGCACGCACTCTAACCACTTATCCATCCGGCCGTGCATCAGCAGCTCAGGGCAGCTCAACTCAAGTTTCCGTGTTTAATCTTAGTTGCGGGTTGGAGTAGCCCACCATCCCATGTGGAAGTAGAACAGACAACCTTGTTTTTAGAAGCACGTGCTATCACCAGCTGAACCAACCTGCCACCTGTTGGCAGCTCAGCTCAAGCGCAGCTCACTGACCCATATGGGAATTGAACCAGCGACCCTGTTGCTCAGAGCTTGTGCTTTTAACCAAGTGAGCCACTTGGCCGGCCCAAGACATTTTTCTTGACTCTAATATATCTATAATGGTATTTTTTTGGTTAACGTTTGTCTGTTATGCTTTTTCTATTTTTAAAATGCTTCAGGGAATAGCTCATTGTATTGCAATTTTCTCTAAAAATTGCAGTAGTTGATATTTTAAAATTCCAGTCTGACATTCTTTGTCTTTTAAACCGGCAAATTCACTCCCTTTACATTGATTGGAAAAGGGTCTATATTAATTATCTTATTAGTTGGGTTTACATTAATTATCTATTATTTTTAAATCCTTCCTGAAATTATCCACTTTTGATTTTATTCTGTTTCACAGAATAATGTTATAGTGTTTATTTAGAAGTTATTTTAATGAACTAACTTTTTTTCCCCTCTTGTTTTTCAAGTTAGTGTTCTTAAATTTTGTGTGTGTTGATTTTTGAGGTTGCATCATGAAGATGGTCACATGATGAAGAAAATATTTGATTCTTTGCCTCTGCAGTTGTAAACAATTGTTCCCACCTAATCAAATTTTATTTTATTATCTTTATATCTCATAGACCTTTGACTTTCAAAACTAATCATTAAAACTGGACAATACTACCCAACAACCCTGAGATAAAGGCTTCTGTTTCTCCTCTGGGCTACACCAACATGCACCCTTCTCCTACTCTTCCTCCTCCCCACTCACCTCTTATCCATACCCTCGATTCCACCTCTGGGGTCTGGTCAGAGTACTGGATTGAACATGATGTGATCCCAGCATTTTCTTGGACTATCAGGGAAGTCTCCACATCAAACAGACCCCATCTGTCTGCATTCACCTTTGAGTCTGAGGGCAAATCATGTCCTTGTGGGTCTTTCCACTTCACTGTGGGTTGGTGAAACCAGCCTGAGGACTTGCAGAGTAGCTGGATGCCTCCATTCACATATCCCATGACAGAAACCAGAGGAGCTGAGCCCAATGCTGAGGAGAAGACAGAAAAGTGATAAAATCAAAGATCACATTCCAAGGCCACAGAATTTCTGAGCCAGATTCATAAAGCTCATAGAAATAACACATCCCACATTCCCTCTCTCCCTCATTTTCTCTCACATGCACATACACATTTATAACACTGCTGTAAGCCCTTCCAATGGTCTTTGTTCAGTTAACATGCATTTAACAACTGCTATATACCTGCATATTCCTAAATGCTACATATGATGTGAATAAGACAGAGTTCCTTCTAAAGAAGAACTTTTCAGGAGCTCAGCTGGGAAAAAGAGACACAAACTGTCAGCAGTTATATCAGCTAATTAAAGCAATAATGAGCCCAAATCAAATAGCAATGAAGCCTTTCATCATTTACTGTCCTAGTATATTCACATGATGACTCCTAACTCTTCTATTTCCCCTATTAATTGGCATGCTGGTCTAAGGTCACGTGTATCGGTGCAAAGGTGGGGTTATACAACTATTGGGAGTGCTCTGCACAAAAGACTTCAACAGTTTCATGGACTTAAGGTTGGCAGGAGGGTGAGGGGAAGGGCTAGGTGTGGAAAGTTACAGGGTACTGATTCTGAGTGGGGAAAATGTTTGCAAGTTTTTCCTTCCTCTTTCTGATAAGGAGGCTTTGACAGTGGCACCTGAAGAAGACTCTGCCCCAGGCCTCAAACAGAGAGGCCTAGGAATGACGGCACCTGGGCTAGGAATGCAAATATGTGTAAGAGCATGAACTGGCAGAGGCATGGGAGTCCTTGACTACAACTCCTCTAGGTACTGAAGGCATTGGCTGTGCAGCAAGTCTAGTGTGGGATGGGCAGCTTTTTCTTTTGAGGCCTGTCAAATAAAGACTGTGTAATTGCCTATGGTCAGGTCTTAAAAATCAGTAAGATTTTCACCAGGAACCAGACTCTCAACTCGCCAACTAAAAGGGAGAAAACTTAACAAACATATTTAACTGTGAAAAGTGCAACTATGAAAGTATGGTTAAGGAATGAGGTCAAGGAGAAGGTGATTAACTGTCAGGGGAAGTCATACCTCCCTGGAGGTGACATTTGTACCCTCCTGTGTCAGGTAAATGGGAGTTTCATAGGTGGACAAGTCAGAAAGAGGGAGAAGCATGCCAGACAGAATGTCCGGTACAGAAAGCAAACATGGAAACTCAACTGACAACAGTAGAGCAGGGATCTGAGTGATAAACATAAACATGGTGACTTCCTGCTAAAATTGAACTTCAAATAGGATTCAGGGTCTCATAACATAATAGCCAAAATGTCTAGGTTTCAATTAAAATTTACTCATCATAAAAAGAAACAGAAAAATGTTATCTTACATGATAATAGACAATTGACTCATGCCAACACAGAGGTAAATTAGATTGGAATTAACTGACAAAGACTTTTCAATAGCTATAACAAAAATGCTTCAGCAAATGATTACAATTTCTTGCAAAAAAGAAATAGAATACCTCACCAAACATAGAATTTATTTTTTATTTTTATTTATTTATTTTTTTTTTAATATTTTTTTTATTGGGGAATTGGGGGAATGGGAACAGTGCTGGGGAATTAGGGGAAGGGGAAGAGACAAGTTGCTGTCCTTTTGTTCTTCAGTCTAGTTGTGGAGGACGTTGCTTCACTGGCCCAAGTTGGCACCATCATT